AAAAAAACACAGTGGACTTAAACTATATCCTAGAACAAATGGACTTGACAAATACTTACAGAACATTCTACCCAACAACTGCAGAATATACATTTTATTCATCAGCACATGGAACATTCTCCAAGATAGACATATGATAGGCCACAAAACAAGTTGCAATAAATTTAAGGCAATCAAAATTATATCAACTAGTCTCTCAGACTGCAGTGGAATAAAATTGAAAATCAACTCCAAATGAACCATCAAAACCATGCAAATACATGGAAATTAAATTTTAGAAATTAAATAAAACCATGGAAATTAAATTAAATATTAAATTTAAGATCAACCTGTTTCTGAATGATCATTGGATGAAATCAAGATTGGAATTTAAAAATTTTTTGAACGGAACAATAATAATGGCACAACCTATCAAAACGTCTGGGATACAGCAGAAGTGGTGTTAAAAGGAGTGTTCATAGCATCAAGAGCCTCCATCAAAAAAGTCTGAAAGAGCATAAGTAGACAATGTAAGATAACAACTCAAGGAACTAGAGAAACAAGAACAAGCCAAACCCAAACCCAGCAGAGGAAAAGAAATAACAAAGATCAGAGCAGAACTAAATGAAACTGAAACAACCACCACCAAAAAATCCAAACCATAAATGAAATGAAAAGCTGGCTCTTAGGAAAGATAAACAAAATGGATAGACCATTAACAGCATTAACCAAGAAGAGAGAAGATCCAAATAAGCTCAATTAGAAATGAAACAGAAGATATTGCAACTGATGCCACAGAAATACAAAAGATCATTCAGGGTGACTGTGAACACCTTTATGTGCACAAATTAGAAAACCTAAAGGAGATGAATAAATTCCTGCAAATGTACAACCCTCCTAGATTAAAAAACAACAACTCTGAACAGACTAATAACAAGAAGTGAGATTGAAATAATAATTTTTAAAAATTGCCAACCCAAAAAAAAAAAAAAAGGTTCAGAACTAGGTGGATTCACAGCTGAATTATATTAGACTTTCAAAGAAATATTGGTGGTGGCAGGGCCAAGACGGCTGACTAGAAGCAGCATCCCATAAAAAAGAACCATAATAGTGTGTGAATCCTGCACCACAACCTGAGGTATCCAGGTTCTCTCATCAGAACTGACTAGGTGCCTGGCGTGATCCATGGAGAGGAAGGAAGAGCAGTGTGCTGCCACAGCCCACCTGACACCCACATGGGCCTGGGGAGCCCCCACCCCCACCCAGCCAAAGAAGGCAGTGAGTGAGCATGCTATCCATCCTGGGAAACTGTGCTTTTTCCATGAAACTTGCAACCCATGGATTAGAAGATTCCACTCATGAACCCACACCACTGGAGCCTAAGGTCCCAACTGTTGGAAACAAGAGCTGAGAGTCGCAAAGAAAAAGAGCACTGAAACAAGGAATTTCCCAGCAAGGCAAATTTACTTCTGCAGAAGGGTGCCAGTCATGTCTCTGGCTGTTGTGAGAGCACAGCATACAAGGGAGGGAAGTGGTTTTTATCCCTAACACAGTCCCTGCTTCTGTGTCCTGCCCCCCTTGGCCGGAGTCAGACGGCACAATCTAAGTTAACTCAATGGCTATTTTAAATCGAGACAGGCAGGAAGGTTGTTTACAGAGCACGTAACTAGGAGCGAGGAGGACTTCTTCCAAATAAGGAATAGATGGGGGTTACAGATTGCGACGGGGAGAAGAGATGTTTACAGAGCAGGTAGCTAGGAGTGGGAAGGTACAAGGAAGTTGATTTTGAGAACAAAGAACAAGGAAGTTACCCTTTGAAGAGGGACTTATTATGCCTGACACAACCCTGGAGCTGAGCAGATTCTCAGCAGCCTGTGAGCTAGAATGTGCTTAAGCCTGCCAAGTTCCCACTGGAGGGGTGACCAGCACCACGGTTGCAGCTGGCTGCTGTCTAAGCTGTTTGAGCTTCTTGGGGAAGGGACAGCAGCCAGCACTGGGACTCGAAACGGCCTAACAGGCTCAGCTCCCTGGGTGGGGAAAGGGCAGCAAACATCTCCATACCCCCAGCCGCACTTTTCCTCTGCTAGATCCAGGGAAACTGGATAGCTTGGTCTCAAGAGGTGTCCCCCACAGCCCAACACACTAGCTGTAGCAGACTGTGGCCAGAATGTCTCTCTTCAGGCCTGACCCGTCCCTCATCACTGGACAGGGCCTCCCTGCAGGAACTGCAACAACTCCAGCCAGGGGCTCAGGGACAGAACTCTGATATCTCTGAGCCTGAGCCCCTAGGGGGAGGGGTGGCTGCAGTCCCTGTGGACCGGCAGACTTAGCCTTTCCTCTTGCTAGTTCTGAGGAATTTGGGCAGCCCAGATGAGTGGGTTTTCCCCCAGCAAAACACCTCCCTCCACCAAGGAACAGTCAAAGTGCTTCATTAAATGGGTTCTGCTCCCTGTGCTATCCCCTGGTGACCCTTCAACAGGGCTTGTCAGACACCCTATACAGGAGCAATCCTACTGGCATCAGGTTGGTGCCTCTTGAGGGCAGAGATCACAGAGGAGGGAGCAGACACTCTGCTGTTCTCCAGCTTTCTTGAGTGACATCTCCAGGCATGGGAGTGAACCAGATGAACAGGGCCTGAAGTGAACCCCCAGCAAACTGCAGCAGCCCTACAGAAGATGGACTTGACCATTGAAAGAAAAACAAGCAAACAGAAAGAAACAACAGCATCCAAAACCAAAAAGCACCCACAAAAACCCCATCCAAGGCCGGGCATGGTGGCTCACACCTGTAAAAAGGTTAACTTGTTTTTGTGCTTGGCTATTGTTTTTAAATAACTAACGCATAGAAACAGTTTGAAATAGAAATTTCTCTGAGACAACGCTGGATGAACGCCTAAAGGGACTCACACAACCTGTTCTGAGACTTGGTGACCATTGTTTGTGTCCGTGTTCAATTGAGTTCAAATTTAATATTTAACTTTTCCACTACATTTGGCCTCAGTTGGATACTCAATTGTATTAAAATACCCTCACAGATATACGGGGAACACATAGTTGATATAGATTACAGACACAGGGTAAGCACAGTAGAATTAAAAGCACAATTAATAAAAATTAAACCCAACATGGCTTTGCAAGCACAGTAATATTGTGAGACTTGCGAGGTATATACACACCACATTCACTACGCAGTAAGGCCCAAACCCCTCCTTGGGCTCTGGTAAGCATCTCTAATGCCATTTGATTTTGCAACACAACAGTACGCAGCTGAGCAAATTCATCTGATAACAACATAAGGCCAGTACTACTATCATTAAGAGCTTTTCCTACATGTAAAGTAAATGTTTTAATCTGTTGCTGAAGCAGGATTGTACAGACAGCAGGGGAGAATACTGTGATAGGGTACCACCACCAGGGAGGCCAGCGCATTTGTAACCAGCCATGTTTGTAAGCATCTAGATTACTGGGGAGGGGAATATTATCGCGGATAGTGAATGAAATTAATGGCCACGCCCAAGTATATCTCCCCATCAAAAGCGGCAGCAGGTATCACCACCCATAGGATCTGCATACCCAGAGGGCCCCCCTGGGGACAGCAGTGGAGCTACCGTAATCATAGTGTACTAATTTCTTATTAAAATAGGAAAAGGGATTGTGGTTCACTGGGCGCCATATTGTTGATTTGGAGTGTGTGTTGACAATTGACTGGAGAAACCCCAGAGAAACATTAGAGGAGTCATTTACTGCCTCCAGACAAAGCAGGGGCTGTATGGAATCCGGCCACCAGCACAGCAGGTTTCCAAAATATACGGTTCCAGGACTATTGGGCAGGATACCAAGGCTTTCAATACAAGGTGAGGGTGCCATTTACCTTTTGTCTGACTTGGCAAAGATAGATTCCTTAGTGTGGTCAAAGGAAGTCCAGGTTGGATTGCAAGTGTTGTTGTTATGGCCCCATTGGTAACAACATAGCAATTCAGAAATACTGTCAGGGATGATTCTCCAAGTTTGCCCATTTTTGGCAGCCTCCGGCAACTCAACATACAGCCAACAGTGATTGCGGTTGGCTTCTGTTGCAGCAGTGGCTACCCAGGTGATGAATTTATTCTTGGCCTCAGACACAAAGACACAGGTGCTGACCACTAGTAGATAGGTTATTCCCTGTAATAACAAAAATGAAGGGGAACATGATACTGTTTTTCATCTTTAGGAAATGGTACTATGCCTTCATTTTCTGTTTTCATAGCTACAAGGTCACCAGCCTTAGGATCGGGAACTGATGGATACTGTACCCATATTTTGACTCCGGGATTTAAGCTACCTGTACCAGGGGAGCTGAAACCCCCAGTTCTGCATGTAGACTCTGTTGGGCAGAGATTTCCTCAGGGGTTGATTGTGGACAAGGTACCACTAACAATTGAGCAACCAGCATCTGTGGTTTTATAGCAAAAGAATCTGCAGTGGTATTGTGTAAAATGACCTTTAACTCTCCCTGGTAATCGCTATCAATTATACCACCATACACTAGAATGCCTCTCATTGCAAGGCTTGAACATGTTGCAATCCATTTATCTGCATTCAAGTTTGCAGTTATGGTGGAAATTTTGACCTGTTGATCTTCCTGCTGATTAGTCTGTCAAGAGAAAGCGGAGATGCCTGAGCATCAACATGGAAAACAGGGTCGGGTGCAGTGGCGCATGCCTGTAATCCCACACTTTGGGAGGCTGAGGTGGGTGGATCACGAGGTCAAGAGATCGAGATCATCCTGGCCAACATGATGAAACCCTGTCTCTACAAAAAATACAAAAATGATCTGGGCATGGCAGTGCGAACCTGTAGTCCCAGCTACTCGGGAGGCTGAGTCAGGAGAATCACTTGAACCTGGGACGTGGACGTTGTGGTGAGCCCGGATCGCGCCACTGCACTCCAGCCTAGCAACAGAGTGAGACTGAGTCTTAAAAAAAAAAAATTAGCTGGGCATGGCGGCCCATGACTGTAATCCCAGCTACTTGGTAGAGTGAGGCAGGAGAATCTCATGAACGTGGGAGGCAGAGGTTGCAGTGAGCTGAGATTGCACCGCTGCACTTCATTTTGGTGAAAGGGCTAGAAAAAAAAAAACAACAACAACAAAACCAAACATGGAACACAGTGATAATGGTAGTGTGCACCAGGATTCAGATACCTTACCAGTATTGTTCTCGCCAAACCTCTTTATTCCCAGTTAGCCATTTATTTCGTTGCCAGTGGGGCACCCAGGTGGTAAGATCATTTGCTACTGACCAAGAGTTGGTATACAAGTGACAAATCCCTCTGGTCTCCTCCTGAATAGCTCCGAGGATGGCTACTCGTTCAGCTAACTGGCTGCTCCCACCCCTTCCTTCATCAGAAATGCTGATGTTTTTAAGAGGATTATAAGCCACAGCCTTCCAGCATCAGGTCCCACCAATGTATTTGGTGGATCCATCAGGAAACCAAGCATATTTCTGATCCTCTGGGCTTAGTTCTTCAAAGGATTTGTCCCATTTGACGGGTAACATGGGGTGGTGTTTCCCTCTGTATCTGCAGGACTCATTCAGTGTTTCCTGCGCTGTAAGTTTTGTCCATCCTCATGTAAAAGTGATACCCCCTTTGGTTTTGGCTTAGCCTGGTTTTGTATGTACCATTTCTGTTTTATGATGCTACTTTCTTGAGTGTGCCCTATCTGGTGGGTTTTGGGGGAACTCATGTCTCAGGTCATAATAGCAATTTCAGGCCTCATAAAAACATCATGGTTGAAGCAAAGGTGTTCCATTTCTAGCAAAAGCCCAATAGCAAGCTAACAATTGCTTCTTGAAAGGGTTATAAGCTTTTCCGGCCTCTGGCAGTTTCTGGGTCCAAAACCCGAAAAGTACCCTCTTCCCATCTTGTTTCTGCCCAAGGCTCCAATTAGCATGTTGATCTAGGACAGTTACTTGGAGTTCTACTGGCCCATCCTGTATGGGCCATAGATCCAGGGCCAGTTGCACTGTTTGTTTAGCTTGTTCCAATGCCATGCTGTCTTTCTCTCCCCAGTGAGAGTCATAGCGTTTTCTAGTGACTGCATGCAGAGGTTGTAAAATGTTACCTACGTGGGGAATATGATGTCTCCAGAATCCAAACAAGACAGTACATTTCTGGGCCTCCTTCTTAGTGGTGGAGTTTGCAAATTCTAGTATTTTAGCTCTAGCTTTTGGTAAAATGGACTATTTCTTTGCATTCCATAAAACACCAAGGGATTTTACACTTTGTGCAGGTCCTTGAATTTTACGAGGGTTAATTTCCCATTTTTGAGATAGGAGCTGGGTTTTTACCCGCTTCAAGCCCCGGTTGGCTAGTTCTTCAGTTTTACCCTGACCAGGCCACCTGGACAGCTGCTTTTTTCAGCAACAGGCTGATAGCTTTGAGCTTGATCAGTCAAGATTGGGCCAGGGCCAGTCTGGAAGTCAGATGAGCATTTTCCTTTTTCAGCTTACATTTCTCTTGTAGCAACCAGACCCTATCTCGATAAATTAATTTATAAGCAGTAAGCAAACACCATCCACTTTGGGAGATCCCTCAGCATCTCCCTTGCTGACCAGAATCCCCTGCAGCACTTCACGCACAGTCAAAGGTTTAAATTGCACTAATTTAGATTCCCAATTCTCACAAAGGCCAGTTCCCTGGACCATTTACTCAACAAGAGGGAGAACTGGGGGAGTTCCCATCCCGGGATATGGGAAATCCCTGAGCCTCCAGCCCTGTCCTTCTGGTCAAAAAGGGGCACACTTTTGTTTCCAAATCCTATTTGTGACGCCAAAAATGTTCCGTGCTGGAAATGTTGAGGGGAGAAGAAAAGACACACACACAATACCTTTAAGGGTAAACAACCTTTATCCCACGTAAATGGCAATGCAGACATTATAGACTAATAACATAATAAGCAAATGACATAATAAGAAAATAAATATAAGCAGATTGATATAATAAGCAAATTGCAATAAGAAGAGGAGACGGGAAAAGATATATATTTATCCTCACCAGGCTATGGAGGATTCACCACCAGAGAGGGAAGCAACAGCCACGACTCCAGAGTCAGATACCTGTCTGTGCACAGATTCACCCGTCCTCCACAAATCCCCCTGTCTTGATGAATCGGCTGTGTCTAGGCAAAGGTCAAGGTGAACCCCTTGGGCTGTTACACAACCTCCGCCTCCTGGCTTCAAGCGATTCTCCTGACTTGGCCTCTGGCGTAGCTGGGACTACAGATGTGCACCACAACAAATGGGTAACTTTTTATATTATTAGTATAGATGAGGTTTCACCATGTTGGCTAGGCTAGTCTTGAACTCCTGACCTCAAGTGATCCACTCACCTTGGCCTCCCAAAGTGTTGGGATTACCAGCGTGAGCCATCCGTGCCTGCCCCTAAATGATTTCTATCTCCTATAGCAGTTTGAAATTACTTAAAGGTTGTTTCAAATTGAAAAAATAAAAAGAATGTGGATAAAATTAAAATATAAATTAAAAATTACAAGATATTACAAAATACATACGTAAATCTGGAGTGGTCAAAAATGACAAATTTGATTTATTTATAAGGTTTTATTAAAATTAGCTTTAATAGATAATATACTATTACCAAAGTAAAAGTTGATTTTCTGTTGAACAAAAATTTTATGTATTATTAATATGACAGCAAAATACTTCCGGTCACCTTTTGAATGCATTCAACAAGAGAGAGATTAAAAAACAGATAAAATTTTCCCACGCTCTAGGGTGGTCCTGGCTCAGCTCAGGGAGGAAGCCCCGTTTGAAAAGGTTGCTGCTTATGCTGTCACTTTGTCACTCAGCCCAGCGTCTTATCACATCCTCTGTCACTCAGGGCCTGAGGGGGCGGGGCCTTAAATATTATCCAATCAGGGACGCTGGGCTGGAAACCGTCCAATCAGGCACGCAGCCAGAGTGAACCGTAAGGCTTCCGGGTTTGGCGGGGCCTTTGTCTCTCGCTGCAGCTGGAGCTCCGGGTCTCTTAACTGCTGTGTGTAGTCTGCTCCTAGAGGCCCAGCGTCCTGCAGGTATTGGGAGATTCACAGCTAAGACGCCGGGACCCCCTGGAAGCTTAGAAATGGTGAGAGTGCCGGTCCGACATCCCCAGAGAGGGGGACGCGCTGGTTGGAACCAGTGGGAAGTAGCTGTGGCGGGACTCAGGCCTCCGGGCAGTCAGCTCCACAATCTGCGCCCCAAGTTCTCCTTGCCCACCTCGGCCTCAGTCCCGTTCAGCCATAAGATGGCGGCTACGCTGACAGCTGGGCCCCCGGGCGTCCTGTCTCTTCCCTGCGCAGTGACCGTGCTCTGGCCTGGAGCGCTCTGTGGGCAGCTCTGCACCCGCAGTGCCCCATCTCTCCCAGAATGTGCAGGGACCACCGGAGGGTCGTCAAGGGAGAATCCTGACTCGGGGTGCGGGTCAGGGAAGAGCTGGAAAAGGAAGAGCTTTGCTCCGTGGGGTTCACAGTTTCTGTTTTCTGCTATTAAAAATTTATGGGGCCGGGTGCGATCGTTCACGCCTGTAATCCCAGCCCTTTGGGAGGCCGAGGCAGGCGGATCACTTGAGGTCAGGACTTGAAGATCAGCCTGGCCCAAATGGGGAAACCCCATGTCTACTAAAAATGCAAAAATTAGCTGGGTGTGATGACAAATGTCTATAATCCCAGTTTCTCGGGAGGCAGGAGTGAGAGAATCGCTTGAACCCGGGAGGTGGAGGTTGCAGTGAGCTGAGATCCGGCCACTGCACTCCAGCGTGGGGACAGAGGAAGACTCTGTCTTTAAAAAAGGGAAAAAAAAGTAAGCACCTTAAAATTTCCTTGTCTTATGTAAACTGTGTTTGAGTAATTTCCCTGGATTTTTCAAACAGTTTCAAAAACCAAGTGAATAACTGATATGGAAATTAAAGCTTGAAACTAAGAACTCCAAGCTAAGGCTGATATTAAGCCTGCAACAGGATATTATTAAAGACTCAGTTTTTTTCTGGGAAGCCTCCCCTGCAGATTTCCCAGCCTGCTCACCCCAGCCATGGAAGGAGCCTCTATCCTGAGAGAAGCTACAGAGCCCTAGAAAGCTGGGGATCCACAGGCAGTTACAGTTGAGATTAAGATGAAAGGAAACTGAGAGGGTCTTACTGATGATGAACTTTTTATGTTTTGCGGCACTTTCTACACTTCATAAAATAAAAAACATTAGATTTATGTAAAAAAAAATGAATTCCAAAAAATTATTGCAACAGCAGAAAGTACCGACTAAGTATAAGATCTTTATGGCTTGCAAAGATGTCAGCAGAAAAGGGCTTTCTTTTTTAGGGAGGAGCAAACAAGATTAGAAAGGAGGTGTGAAGGGAATGGCAAATGGAGAGTGAAAAAGTCAGATTTTAGATCAGAGAATGTCTTACCCTGAAATCAGCGTATTCTTAGGAGGGATGTAAAATGGAGTTGTATGTTGACTCAGACTGAGGGTAGCACAAAGTTCAGGAGCCTGAAGGAGGGAGATAAGCTTAAGAAAAGTTTGACTAAGGATTATTTTATTTTAGGCTAAGTGTAGTGGCTCACGCCTGTAATCCCAGCACTTTGGGAGGCTGAGGCAGGCGGACCTGAGGTCAGGTGTTTGAGACCAGCCTGGCTAACATGGTGAAATCTTGTCTCTACTAAAATACAAAAATTATTAGGAGGCTGAGGTGGGCAGATCACCTGAGGTCGGGAATTCGAGACCAATAAATAAATAAATAAAAATAAAAATAAAAGATTCAGGTATGGTGGTGCATGCGTGTAATCCCAGCTTCCCATAAGACTGAGGCAGGAGATACGCTTGAACCCGGGAGGTAAAGGTTGTAGTTAGCCGAGATCGCAAAACTGCACTTCAGTCTGGGTGACAAAGTGAAGAAATATTTTATTTTGAGCATGGAAGACAAATTCAGCTGATTTTTTTTAATGAGAAAAAGGAGAAAATGTGCAGTGTGTGTGTCTGGCTGTGTGATAAGTAAGAAAAGAGAGCACCATCTAAGTCATAATGGAAAGAGTGTTTCTTTCCATAAACTGTTCCTGGAGCACACAAAGGATAGAGAATTTTATTAATCACAAATACTTTCCAGGATTATCTATGTGTTTCATCTTTCCCCATCTCTTTTGTTTGTTCTGTGCTTTTCTCCCATTTGGCTTTTCCTGGGCTGCATCTCATATATGAAACTGGTAAACCTAACTACAGTGTTTTGCTGAGCTCTGTGAGTAGCTGTACCAAATTATCGAACTTCAGGGAGGTTATGGGACTCACCAGTTTTTAAACAGTAGCTCAGAAGCATAGATAAGCCCATGGGGTTTGTGATTGGCATCTGCAGTGAGGACAGTGTTGCGGGACCGAGCCCTTAATCAGGGTCTGTGTTGACGCTGGGTGGTGTCAGAATTCAAGTGTTAGACAATGAGTTGGTGTTGGAGAATTGTTTGATGTTCAGCAAACTCTACAAATTTGGTGCCAGAAAAAAGATATCACAGAGGCCTGGCCTGGAATAAAACTCTAGGTGTTTGGGAATGGGAGCTCTGTTGTCCAGTACACAGGCTGTCACACTGCCCATTGTTCTGTGATTCCAGGTATTCTCCCAGGGTGACAGAGGACTGAAAACTTAGAAGAAAGGAGCTCTGATGACAGACCCCCTTTTCCCACAGCTACCACCACAGGATTCCCACCCACTCACAAACACACACACACTAGACATTGACATGTCCACACTCCTCTGAGGCGTAGGCACCACCCTCAGGAACTTCACCACGGCATTTTTGATCCTAGTGTTTCTTGCCAAGAACCCACAAGTCTCTACAAGTCTCCTGACATATCCCCACCCCCAGACACTGAATCTGCAGCAGCAACCTGTTTTCTCCACCAACCTAGCATTTTGGACCAGCTGTTCATAATCTCATACGTCTGCATGCACACAGTAATAAATCAGAGTACAGCTGCATTGGGACTACTATCTGTAGCAAAAATCAGTCCTCTCACCCACATTGCACTCTCTCCCACCCAGGGATTTAATTTTTTCTTTTCGTTTTTATTTTTGTTTCGGGGTACCCTTGGGTTTGTTTTGGTACATGGGGGTTTTGTGTACAGCTTATTTTGTCACTGAGGTATTAAGCATAGCACAAAACAGGTATGTTTTCTGATCCTCCTAGTCTTCCACCCTCTACCCTCAACTAGGCCACAGCATCTGTTGTTCTCTTTGTGTTCATGTGTTCTTCTTATGTAGCTGTTACTTATAAATAATAACATGCATTTGGTTTTCTGTTTCTGCATTATTTTCTTTTTCTTTCTTTCTTTCTTTTTTTTTTTTTTTGTTGGAGACGGAGTTTCACTCTTGTTGCCCAGGCTGGAGTGCAGTGGTGTGATCCAGGCTCACTGCAACCTATATCTCCCAGTTTCACGTGATTGTCCTGCCTCAGCCTCCTGAGTAGCTGGGATTACAGGTGCGTGCCACCACGCCCAGCTAATTCTGTATTTTTAGTAGAGACAGGGTTTCTCCATGTTCGGAAGGCTGGTCTCAAACTGCTTACCTCAAGTGATCAACCGACATTTGACTCCCAAAGTGCTAGGATTACAGGCTTGAGCCACTGCACCAGGCCTCTGCATTTGTTTTCTAAGAATAATGGTCTCCAGCTTCATTGATGTTATAGAAAACAATATTATTTTGTTTTTTAATAGCCACAAAGTATTCCATGATATTTACGTACTATATTTCGTATTTATTTTATTTTTGAAGACATGGTCTCCCTTATTGGCCAGGCTGGAGTGCCATTGCATGATATTGGCTTACTTTAGCCTCAACCTCCCAGGCTCAAGCAATTCTCTCCTGCCTCATCCTCTTCTCGGGACTACACGTGGGCATTACCACACCTTGCCAATTTTTCTTTTTGTATTTTCCCTGGAGACAGGATTTTGCATTGTTTTCTCAGACTGGTCTGAAACTTCTAAGCTCAGGCAGTCCACCTGCCTCGGCCTCCCAAAGTGCCGGGATTACAGGCATGAGCCACCGCATCTGACCATACCATATTTTCTTTATCCAGTCTACCACTGATAGGCATTTAGGGCCTGTCCATGTCTTTGCTATTGTGAATAGTGCTGCACTGAACATGCATGTGGATGTGTCTTTATAATATAATAATTTATATTTCTTTGGCTATATACCCAATTATGAGATTCCTGGGTCAAATGATAATTCTGTTTTTAGTTCTATGAGGAATCACCACACTGCTTTTTACAGTTGTTGAACTAATTTACACTCCCACCAGCAGAGTATAAACATTCCATTTTTCTCTGTAACCTTGCCAGCATCTGTTATTTTTTGACTTTTTAAAAATAGCCATTCTGACTGGTGTGAGGTGGTATCTCATTATGGTTTTTCTTTTAATTTCTCTAATCATTACAGATGAGCATTTTTTTTCATATGCTTGTTAGCCACATCTATGTCTTCTTTTGAAAAGCATCTGTTCATCTTTTTTGCCTACTTTTTAATGAGGTTGTTTGTTTTTTTCTTTTAAATTTGTTTTAAGTTTCTAATAAATTCTGGATATGAGATGTTTGTCAGAGGCAAAGTTTGCAAATATTTTCTTTCTTCTGTAGGTTGTCTGTTTACTCTGTTGATAGTTTATTTGCTGTGAAGATGCTCTTTAGTTTAAATAGGTCCCATTTGTCAATGTTTGCTTTTGTTGCAGTTGCTTTTGGTAGCTTCATCATGAAGTCTTTGCCAGTTTCTATGTCTAGAATGGTATTTCCTAGGTTGTCATGCAGTGTTTCTTATAATTTTACATTTAAGTGTTTAATTTATGTTGAGTTGATTTTTGTATATGCTGTAATGAAGGGACCTAGTTTCTGTCTTCTACATAGTGCTAGGTAGTTATTCCAGCACCATTTATTAAAGAGAGAATTCTTCCCACATTTCTCTTGTCAGCTTTGTCAAAAATCTGATGGTTGCAGGAGGGTGCCATTATTTCTGGGCTCTCTATTCTGTCGCATTGGTCTTCAGCTTGAGTCTCTCCAGCCTGGCTTATCATTGGGCCATCAGCCCAGGGTCACTGGAAATTCCCTCAAAATCACGTAGGTGTCTTTGAGGCATTTGAGGATGTTCAGAGCAGAATTGTGTTAGGCTGACAAGAGTGGTTAATTCTCCTTCTGTCTCAGTGTAAGAGAAATGAGTCATCCTGTGTTTGTTCATCCCCTCGTTGGTTGGTACCCAGATGAGAGTTTCTCCAGTTTTCTGGTACTTGGATGATAAAGAAGGAAAAGATCTGGAGACCCAAATGGATAAACGAGTTGCTCCCATTTTATAGGACCATTAAAAAAAAAACTATTAAGCAGTCTTGGTTCCTACAATCCAGAAACTTTTAGTCTAGACAAGCAACTGGATAAATAATTGAATTATGCATCATATGCTTGGTACAATAAATAGACGTGTCCAAACATAGGAGTTATCTGTATTTTGAGGTTTGCGTAAAACTGATGATTCTTTATGATTAAATCAGATTTTATTTACTTTTTGAAAGACGAATATTTCAACAGTGATGCTGTGTTGTTCTGTGTGCATTAGCACATCATAAAAATTTCTCCTAGTGCAGTTAATGGTTAATGATTCACTTGCTTAAATGGCTCTGACAGATTTTTTTCACTATATAGCTGATTATTTTTCTCTTCATTATTAAGTATCTTTATGCAGCTCATGTGAGTAAACCATCACATTTAATCTGGCAGTTGTCCTTTCTTCTTAATTTTGTCTATATATTTTTCTTTGGAAAATGCAGGCTCTTATCTTTGTTTACAGGCCAGAAAAACTGAGAAAAACACAGGCTCTTCCACTTACTGGATGTTTGACAAAATATCCTTCTTGGGCCAAAAACATTGACATTATTGGTGAGCTTGTTAGAAATTCGAAAAATCAGACTTTATTCCAGATCTTCTGGAAAAAAACCCCTGCACAATAAGGTCTTCGAACTTACTGTATATATTTAAATTTGAAAGGTGCCTTCTAACTCAACGTATCTTTTTCATCCGAATATTCACAACTCATTCCGTATGGTGTAAACATAGCACTCAAAAATGTACATGTTTGTGTTCCTTAATTTTACACTTTACTATCTAGAAAAATATATGAACTGATGTTGTGGATCTCATGCTGTTCTTTTTCTCAGAGAATACATTGGATAATATTTCTGTTTTGAAAGTTATTTTATTGGATAATTTTAGTCCTATAAGTCAGAACCATTTGTCTTTACTCTCTCATTTCACCTTAAGTCAAATTAAAAATTCCATGCATGACCACTTGGTAAAAACATATGTGTGTGTGTTTCAGGGGCCATTGCAATTTAGAGACGTGGCCATAGAATTCTCTCTGGAGGAGTGGCATTGCCTGGACACTGCACAGCGGAATTTGTATAGGAATGTGATGTTAGAGAACTACAGAAACCTGGTCTTCCTTGGTGAGAAAAACTTTAATACATTATTCATAATATACACAAAAGGTTTTATTTCTCTTTTTTGTAGAATTTTTTTAGTAATTTATTCTTTTATAGAAGAGTTTCAGATCCACTTTTTCAAGAAAATCTTCAGAATTCGGTCATTTAGAAAAGAGAAACTCTTCGGTGCCTCTTGCCTGTAATCCCAGCACTTTGGGAGGCTGAGGTGAGGTGATTACCTGAGGCCAGGAGTTCAAGATCAGCCTGGCCAACATGGTGAAACCCTATCTCTACTCAAAGTAGAAGAAATTAGCCAGGCATGGTGGGACGCGGCTATAATCCCAGCTACTCAGGAGGGTGAGGCAGGGGAATAGCTTGAACCCAGAAGGCAGAGGTTGCAGTGAGTTGAAATCATGCCATTGCACTCCAGCCTGGGCAACAGAGCAAGATTTCGTCTTGAGGAAAAAAAAGAAAAAAAATTTCTTCAAGATGTTTTATCTTAATCCAACCTTTCCGTATTTCTGAGGTGAGCTGTAATCTTCACTCCAAATTGGTGGTAGTTCCAGAAATTTAGTGGCATAAAATATTGTAGCTTCCACGTGAAAACCTAATTACCAACACCAATTTTTGATTCAGTAGTGCTAGGCAGGACAATTAAGAAACCTACAAATTGAAAGTTATTTTCTTTCTTTCTTTTTGTTTTTTTTTGTTTTTTTTTTTTTTTTTTTTGAGACAGAGTCTTGCTCTGTCACCCAGGCTGGACTGCAGTGGTGTGATCTCGGGTTACTGCAACATCCACCTCCCAAGTTCAAGCAGTTCTGCCTCAGCCTCCCAAGTATCTGGGACTACAGGTGCACATCACCTTGCTCAGCTAATTTTTGTAGTTTTAGTAGAGATGGGGTTTCACCATGCTGGCCAGGCTGGTCTCGAACTCCTGACCTCGTGATTCACCCACCTCGGCCTCCCAAAGTGCTGGGATTACAGGCATGAGCCACTGCACCCGGCAAATTGAAAGTATTTTCTAAGTATTTAGAAATTTCTGTTATACATTTGTATTTTGGTATTAATTTACTAGAATATTTTATTACATCGTCTTTGCTGAGCACATTACTAGCTTGCAAGTGGAGAATATGAGCAAGATTCATGTTATTTGTTTTTAATAAAACAGGTATTGTTGTCTCTAAGCCAGACCTCATCACCTGTCTGGAGCAAGGAGAAAAACCTTTGACTATGAAGAAACATGAGATGGTAGCCAAGCCCCCAGGTAGGTGTGAGTGAAAATGAATACAACAGACACTGATAAGAGTTCCCAAGGTCAAAGAGAAGGCCAGTCCTTAAAGTGTGATTTGGGAAGCTGTGTTCCAAAGGAAATAGTTCCTGGTCAGCTGGGGTTTTTTTTTTTTTTTTTTTGATTCTTTTTTAAAATTTTGCTCTTATAAAGGGGCATCTTCTGCTTCTGCTTTTAAATTCTGTAAAAATTCTACTTTTCTTTCAGTGAGCTCCCTTCACGTTCACAGTGAGAGCCAAAGTCCTCTTCATGGCATGTAAAAAACTGCACAATCTGACTGCTTTTTCATTGTTTTGGGGACACATACATATCTGCATGATTTTGAGAATTATTTCTCTTTTTGCATCAGGTCTGAAATGTGTGAAAGTAGTCGTTTCTGTTGAAAAAAAAAATTTTTTTTTCCTGCTTAGTCCTTTCTATTTTTATTACTACATAGTTTTAAAATATAGTTTGAAATTATAAGATGATATCCTTCTGCTTTGTTCTTTTTTTTCAAGATTGTTTTGGCTATTCAGAGTTTATTTTAGTTTGATGTAAATTTTAGAATTGTATTTTCCATTACTGTAAAAAAAAAACCACTGCAATTTTGACAGGAAGTTTATGAAATCTATAGATCACTTTGGATAATATAACACTTTAATAAGATTTATTCTTTCAATCTCTAGACATAAAATATTTTAAAATGTATTTGGATCTTCTCATTTTTTCTTTTTTTGTTGTAAACATTTTCTTACCTTCTTGGTTAATTTTTTTTCTCAGAAATTTATTATTTAATGCTATATTAAATAAGATTTTTTCTTCCTCTATTTTATCAGATAGTTTGTTTTAAGCATATGAAACCATACATACACTTGTGTGTTAATTTTATATTTTGCTAATTTACTCAGTGTGTTAGTTTAGATAGGTTTTAATGTACTGTTTATGGTTTTTTAAATATAAGAGGTATGATCCACAAACAGCAACTTTTACTTATTTTTCTTCAATTGCAATGGATTCTTTTCTTTTCTTTTTTTTTCTTTTTTTTTCCCCCCCCTCAAGATGGGGTTGGGTTTCACTCTTGTTGCCCAGGCTAAAGTCCAATGGCATGATTTCGGCTCACTGCAACCTTTGCCTCCCAGGTTCAAGCAGTTCCTCAGCCTGCTGCGTAGCTGGGATTACTGGTGCTCGCCACAACACCCAGCTAATTTTTTGTATTTTTTTGGTAGAGACCAGGTTTCACCATGTTGGCAAGGCTGGTCTCAAACTCCTGATCTCAGATGATCTGCCTGCCTTGGCCTCTGAAAGTACTGGAATTACAGGCATGAGGCACCCCTTCTAGCTCAGTTGTGTAGGTTTCTATGTAGGCAGAACTGACCATAAACTGTGGCTCAAGTAACTGAAACTGAGTCAGGAACCACTTCAGGAACCCCAGTAAAGGCCAAGGTCTGCAGGCCTGCCTACATTGCTGTAAATGAGTGTCTTCTTCTAGGTCTCTGGAATGGAAGGACCTCTGCCAGACTGTGGCTGGGAGTTTGGGGTGGTTACAGAGTAAGTTCAGAATTCTCAGTGGGACTAAGTTGGGTGAACCCTATCCTGGTCTGTAACCATGAACAAAGTTCCTGTAGTTTCCCACCTGAATGAGAGCCTGCCTTCTGAATAGAACACTTCTCAATCTTCAGCTTTAACAGCATTTCACAACTCCCTCCGTGGCTCTCAGATCTCCCTTAGAGGCACTTATTTTGGAGATGGCATCTTGCTACATCTTTGACCTAGTCTTTGAAACCCAGGCTGGTCTCAAAATCCTGGCCTGAAGCAGTTCTCCAACCTTAATGTACCATGGAGCTATCATTACAGGTGTGAGTCATAATCCTGGTTCTCTCATAAAAGTATTTTTGTCAGAGATGGCTGACATCTTTTTGCCGTAAGGGAATATGAAAATACGGCACTTTTAATCTTTTCATCTCACTGATGTCACTCTCCTTATATGTTTTTATTTTCTATTTTCTCTTTCAGATTTGTTTGTAATTTTAGATTCAGATATTTAAGACAATATGCTAGAATTTGCATGGTATGCCTGAAGTAAATTGCATAATTAGTAGGCACCCATAGTTACTAAAATATTTATAAATTTAAGTTTGCTGCAGGCAAAAAGGAATTACAGGATGTTCATCTACTTTTTTCAGCCTATATCTCCATAATAAAATAGTTTATTTCCTAATATTTGTTTTACATATCAGAGGGTCTAACACTATTCTGGAAAATATATATTTTTTAATTTAACAATGTAAGGCTACTGTTTGTTTCTAAAGTTGAATTACAGCAGTTTCATTTTGTGTAAGAATACCATATATTGAAAACATTAAAAGTAACCAGTTTCTTTTAAATGCGAGTTTATTTTCTCATTAGAATCTTCTGTTTATAATTATACTGTATATTCTCTGAAATTTTACTGCCACTCAGTACATGCCAATGATTCAGAATACTTGCATTTAGTGAGTACATATTAATAGTTAAATATTGCAATTATCTAGACATTTTTTTTTTTTTTTTGAGATGGCGTCACGCTCTGTCACCCAGGCTGGAGTGCAGTGGTGTGATCTTTGCTCACCGCGACCTCCACTTCCTGGGTTCAAACTATTCTCATACCTCAGTCTCCCAGGTAGCTGGGATTACAGACATGTGTCACCATCCCCAGCTAATTTTTGTATTTTTAGTAGAGATGGGCTTCAGCACGTTGGCCAGGCTGGTCTTGAACTCCTGACCTCAGGTGATCTGCTCATCTTGGCCTCCCAAAGTGTTGAGATAACAACTGTGAGCCACTGCGCCCGGCCTGACAATTTTTTAAAATTATACATCAATGTTGCATACAAGATTTTACGAGTAAACATTTCTCTTGTTTTGAAGTTTTGAACCCCTCTGGGGTTCAAGTGATTCTTCTGCCTTGACCTCCTGAGACGCTGGGACTACAGGCATGTGCCACCACGCTCAGCTAATTTTTGTATTTTTAGCAAAGATGGGGTTTCACCATATTGGCCAATCTAGTCTGGAACTGCTGACCTCGGGATTTGCATGCTTTGGTCTCCCAAAGTGCTGGGATTACAGATGTGACCCACTGCACCTGGCCTCAGTGTAGGTTTCTTAACATTAGTTTATTGGGTGTTTTGGGTTTCTTTATGTATTACAATTTTAGACAATTTGCAATTCTTTCTGTACATTTTAAGTCAATTTAAGATATAAATTATGCATGTCTGTCACAATCAGATTACATATGTATGTGTATTTATCTATAAATATTACCCTAATTTTAGTTATGGCTTATCCTATATTCTTTCTTAGCTGATTTTTGATGGTAGTTTTATCTTATCTAAGTAACTAGTCATCAAGATAGTCTTATTTTCACCGTGTGTTTAATGATGACTATATATTTGCTTTTGTGAGAGAAACACTTCTACGATTTGAAAGTAATTTTCAAAAAGATATATAATTCTGGGTTTTTTTTTTTTTCAGTTTTTCTTTAAAAAAATTGTCTTAAAAACACATAACATAAAATGTACCATCTTAAATCTATTGAAGTGTGCATTTCAGGGCCAGACTAGGTGGAGGCTCTTATTTGTAATCCCAGGATTTTTAGGCCAAGACTGGAGGATCCCTGGAGCCCAACAGTTTGAGATCAGCCAGGGCAACATATGGTGACCCCTCTCTCTAAAAAAAAATTAATAATAGCCAGGTATGGCAGTGTGCAGCTGTGGTCCCAGCTACTTGGGAGATTGAGGGGAAGTCAAAATTGTACCACTACACTCCAGCTTTGGTGACAGAGTGAGACCCTGTCTCAAAAAAACAGCTGTTCATTTCAGGCATGTTAAGTATATTCACATTGTATGCAAAAGACTTCTAGAAACTTTACACGTTGTAAAACTAAAAGTCATTGACCATTAAGTACTAACTGCTCATTTTACCCTCACTCCAGGCCTTAATAGACATACCTTCCACTTTCTGATTTTATGATTTTGACTACTTAAGATATCTCATATACATGGAATCATATAGTATCCACAGTTCTGTCACTGGATTAATTAAGGTGACATAATATTCTCAAAGTTCATCTTAAAATTGAGAATATTGTTTTTTCTAAGGTGGAATAATACTTCATCATATGTATATGTTACATTTTTTGATATGATTATAAATCAAGAGACATCTGGGTTACTTTTGTGAATACTGGTACAATAAACATGGATTTTCAATTATATCTTCCAGGTCTTGTGTTGCATATTTTGTTTTTTGGTTGTTTTCCTTTTTTTGAGATGGAGTCTCACTCTGTTGCCCAGGCTAAAGTACAGTGGTGCGATCTCGGCTCACTGCAACCTCTGCCTTCTGGGTTCAAGCAATTCTCCTACCTCAGCCTCCCAAGTAGCTGGGATTACAGGTGCATGTCACATCGCCAGGCTAATCTTTTATTTTTAGTAGAAATGGTATTTCACCATGATGGCCAGGCTGGTCTCAAACTCCTGACTTCAGGTTATGTGCCCACCTCAGCCTCCCAAACTGCTAGGATTACAGGCTTGAGACACTGCATATGGCCTGTGTTACATATTTTGGGTATAGATTTATACATGAGGAACATTTATAACATTTTAAAATAATGGCTGTGTCTTTGTTTTCCACCAGCAATCAACATCGGTTTTATTTTCATTGCACCTAATGGGTGTAAGTTGATTTTGTTTGTCATTGTGGTTTTTTTTAATTTCTCTACAAATTAGTAATTTTGTATGTTCTTTCAAATGCTTTTTCCCATTTGTGTATTTTTATGTTTAAGCATTTTATTTAAAATATGTAATTGGTCGGGTGCGGTGGCTCATGCCTGTAATCTCAGCACTTTGGGAGGATGAGGCAGGGGGTCATGAGGTAAGGAGATCGAGACCATCCTGGCTAACACAGTGAAACCCTGTCTCTGCGAAAAATACAAAAAATTAACTGGGCATGGTGGTGGGCGCCTGTAGTCCCAGCTACTCAAGAGGCCGAGACAGGAGAATGGCGTGATCCCGGGAGGCGGAGCTTGCAGTGAGCTGAGATTGCCCCACTGCATTCCAGCCTGAGTGACAGAGCGAGACTCCATCTCAAAAAAGAAATAATAAAATAAAATATATTATTGTATATCATTCAAGGAAATAAACAACTTTTATCAGTGTTGATATTCAGTTTTCAACATTTTTGAAAGAGATTATTTCTCTCTCTATTTTGTATGCATGGCAACTTTGTGGAAGATCATCTGATCGTATACCTGTTTATCTTTGTGTCAGTGTCATATCGTTTATGTTACTGTAGGTTTTTTTTTTTTTTGAGTCAGAGTCTCGCTCTGTCACCCAGGCTGGAGTGCAGTGACGCAATCTTGGCTCACTGCAAGCTCCACCTCCCAGGTTCACGCCATTCTCCTGCCTCAGCCTCCCAAGTAGCTGGGACTACAGGCACTCGCCACCATGCCCAGCTAATTTTTTGTATTTTTAGTAGAGACAGGGTTTCACTGTGTTAGCCAGATGGTTTCAATCTCCTGACCTCATGATCCACCACCCCAGCCTCCCAAAGTGCTGGGATTACAGGCATTAGTCACCGTGCCTGGCCATGTTACTGTAGGTTTTAATTGTAAGTTGTATTGACATCTTTGAAAAATGAAATTTTTTGCCCCCTGAGCAAGAATATGTTGTAGAGTGTGTTTCATTTTCATGTGTTTTTGAATTTTCCAGTTTGACTTTTGCTTTTAATTCCCAGTTTCATTCAGTTTTTGTTAGAAAACACAGTGTATACTTTTAGTGTTTTTAAAATAATTGGTGGTTGTTGTTTTGAGACAAGAGCTTACTGTCACCCAGGCTGCAGTGCAGTGGCAGAATTGTGGGTTACTGTAGCCTTAGCCTCCGGGGCTCAAGTGATCCCCTTCACCTCAATATTTTGAGTAGCTAGGACTGTAGATATGCACTACCATGTCTGGCTAATTGCTTGTTTGTAGTGTTAGGATCTCACTATGTTGCCCAGGCTGGTCTCAAACTTTTGGCCCCAATCAATCTCCCAAAGTATTAGGATTATAGCCAAGAGCCATGGCACACAGTCAGTATTTTTAATTTAACCAAACTTGGTATGTGTCCTAATAGAATACACCAGATGCAAATAGGAATATTGTGTATTATCTTGGTTTTGACTGGAGAGTTTTGTGTGTTTCTGTGAAGCCTAGTTGGTCTATAATATGGTTTGGATGTCCATGTTATCCAAACCTCATGCTGCAATAGAAATTCTCAGTGTTGGATGTGGGACCTGGTGGGACATGTTTGGGTCATGGGGGCGAATTTCTCATGATCCACCCGTGTCAGCCTCCCAAAGTGCTGGGATTACGGGCATGAGCCACTGCATCTGACGGGGAATTTACTTTTAAAGGCATAATGTTATACTGGAGAGCAGGAAGAGCTGTGTTGGGTATAAGTAACAGGCTTTTCTTTATCTTCTGTGTGACTCTTTGCATTGTGCTTGCCTGGGGCCCTTCATAAACTTAACTGACTTATAAATTTTTTACAGATATATTTTGGGCAGTATGTTTTTGTTATATTTATGTGTCCAGGAAGAAATTACAGCTTGCGATATTTTGCTATGTCATCTTGCTTAGGTAGTTTGTATAACTTTATAGGTTAGATTTGTAAATTATATTTATCTGAGTCTAGCAATCCAAGTAATGTGTTTTGATTATTTCTTTCAGTTTTGTGTTCTCATTTTACCCAAGACCTTTGGCCAGAGCAGAACATAAAAGATTATTTCCATAAAGGGATACTGAGAAGATATGAAAAATGTGGACATGACAATTTACAGTTTAAAAAAGGCTGTGAAAGTGTGGATGAGTGTAAGGTGCACAAAAGAGGTTATAATGGACTTAACCAATATTTGACAACTACCCAAAGGAAAATATTTCAGTGTGATAAATATGTGAAAGTCGTTCGTAAGTTTTCAGATTCAAACCGACATAAGATAAGACATACTGGAAAAAAACTTTTCAAATGTATAGAATGTGGCAAAGCTTTTAACGAGTCCTCAACCCTTACTACACATAAGAAAATTCATACTGGAGAGAAACCCTACAAATGTGAAGAATGTGGCAAAGCCTTCAACTGGTCCTCACACCTTACTACACATAAGATAATTCATAGTGGAGAGAGACGGTACAAATGTGAAGACTGTGGCAAAGCCTTTAGCCGGTTTTCATACCTTACTGCACATAAGATAATTCATAGTGGAGAGAAACCCTACAAATGTGAAGAATGTGGAAAGGCCTTTAAGCGCTCCTCTAACCTTACTACACATAAGATAATTCATACTGGAGAGAAACCCTACAAATGTGAAGAATGTGGCAAGGCCTTTAAGCGCTCCTCTATCCTTACTACACATAAGATAATTCATAGTGGAGAGAAACCCTACAAATGTGAAGAATGTGGCAAGGCCTTTAAGCACTCCTCTGTCCTTACTACACATAAAAGAATTCATACTGGAGAGAAACCCTACAAGTGTGAAGAATGTGGCAAAGCCTTTAAGTACTTCTCATCCCTTACTACACATAAGATAATTCATACTGGAGAGAAACCCTACAAATGTGAAGAATGTGGCAAAGCCTTCAACTGGTCCTCACACCTTACTACACATAAGAGAATTCATACTGGAGAAAAACCCTACAAATGTGAAGAATGTGGCGAAGCCTTTAAGTACTCCTCTTGCCTTACTACACATAAGATAATTCATACTGGAGAGCAACCCTTCAAATGTGAAGAATGTGGCAAGGCCTTTAAGTGCTTCTCTGTCCTTACTACACATAGGAGAATTCATACTGGAGAGAAACCCTATAAATGTGAAGAATGTGGCAAAGCCTTCAACTCGTCCTCACACCTTACTGCACATAAGAGAATTCATACTGGAGAGAAACCCTACAAATGTGAACGATGTGGTAAGGCTTTTAAGCGCTCCTTTATCCTTACTAGACATAAGAGAATTCATACTGGAGAGAAACCCTACTAATGTGAAGAATGTGGCAAAGGCTTTAAGTGCTCCTCTACCCTTACTACACATAAGGTAATTCATACTGGAGAGAAACTATAAATGTGAAGAATGTGGCAAAGCTTTTAACCCACTATCCTTTTTACACATAAGAAAATTCATATTGGAGGGAAACTGTAAAGCGTGATAAATGTGGCAAAGCCTTTATTTCATCCTCACACCTCAGTAGACATGAGATAATTCATGCGGAAGAGAAACCCAATAAATAAGAAAATGCGACAAAGCCTTTAAGGACACCTCTGCCCTTCCTAGACATATGATAATTCATACTGGAGAGAAACCCTGTGAGTTTGATGAATGTGGGAAAGCCTTTAGCCAGCTATCAACTTTTACTAAATATGAGAATTTATATGAAACATAAACCCTACAAATACAAAGAATGTGACAAAGCTTTTAGGAAGTGCTGAACCCTTCTTACACATAATTCATACTGGACAAAAATCCTACAAGTTTGAGGAATGTGGCAAAGCCTATAACAAGTTTTCAATTTTTTTTTTTTTTTTTTTTTTTGAGATGAAGTTTCATGCTCATCACCCATGCTGGAGTACAATGCCATGATCTCGGCTCACTGCAACCTCTGCCTCCTGGATTTAAGCCATTCTCCTGCCTCAGCTTCCTGAGTAACTGGGATTATAGGTGTCCTCCAACATGCCCAGCTCACTTTTGTATTTTTAGTAGAGATGTGATTTCACCACGTTTGCTGGTCTCGAACTCCTGTCCTCAGGAGATGCACCTGCCTTGGCCTCCTGAAGTACTGGGATTACCGGCGTGAGTCACGATGCCCAGCCACAAGTTCTCAATTCTTAAGAGACATGGTGATAATTCATACTGAAGAGGAAATCTACACAGCTTAAAAAATATGACAGTGCTTTTACCAACACCTCCAACTTCTCTATATGTAACAATGATTATACTAGTGTGAAACCCTAGAAATATATAAAATGTGTCAAAGCCTTTATATGGTTGCCACATTTGATTGTAGGTAAGATACTTCATACTGGCAAAACTACAAGTGTGAAGAATGTGGCAAAACTTCTAATCAGTTCTTAAACCTTATTTCACAGAAAAGCTAGTATCCTTAAGAAAAACTGTACAAATAGAAGGAATGTGGAAAACCCATTAATTCCTACTCACATCTAACTCAACATAAAAAGATTCCTTTTAATAAAAGCATTAAAATTGCAATTACTGTCAAAAAAAACTTTCAGAAAGTATAAGTCTTTAAAATGAGTATTTTTTGTGAAGACAAGCATTACAAATATAAAGAGGGTTATATAGTATATTTACTTTTATCACAGATTTTATTGCACACATTTTGTACTGAAGGAAACCCTAAAGCAGTTGCTCAAGCTTTGTTCAACATCAGGGAATTTATATTGGAGATGAGTCCTACAAATGTATTAAGTTTAGAAACACTTTTTTTTTTCTTTTTTTTTTTTTAGAAACTACAGCTTAGAAAACAGAGAGTTTATACTAAAATATAATTTTGCAGATGCAGTAAATATGAAAAAATATTTAATTCAAAATAGATTGTATATAAATATCAGAGAAGTTACAGTAGAATAACTAAGGCCCTGATATTTCAGACATTATACTAAATCAGAGCATTGGGTATAAAAACTAATCCACAGCAGCAGTTTTTAGGTAAATGATTTCTATGTAACTTTAAAAGGAGTAGATTTTTGGAAGCATTGTAATTCCATTGAAAGTGTATTTGTTTCCTTGAATAAAATTTTTTGAAAGCTGAATAATGATGTAATACAGATTTCAAAATATGCTGTTATTTTATTTCTGTTCACATGTGAGAAAGCATGTGATCAATTGCTTCTGCATCAGAGATACCAGAGATTTTAAAAAATTATTTGGACATTATGACCTTTTCTATAAAATAATAACATTAAAATGTAAGATCCATAATGAAAACACAAGTGGAGAGGCTCATTGTAGTAAAATTCTATTAAGTAATGTATAAGGTAAATGTTCAGAGCAATAACTTTATTATAGTGACAATTATGTTTAGAACTTTATTAAAATAAATGAGTATAATACTTTACCACTTGTACTTTTATGTAATAAAATGCAGTACATTTTAAAACTGTTAGGGCTGGGCTTGATGGCTCACACCTGTAATTTCAGCACTTTGGGAGGCCGAGGCGGGTGGATCACCTGAGGTCAGTAGTTCAAGACCAGCCTGACCAACATACTGGTCTTGAACTACTGGAGAAACCCAGTCTCTACTAAAAATACAAAAAAATTAGCCAGGCATGGTGGTGCATTCCTGTCATCCCAACTACTCAGGAGGCTGAGGCAGGAGAAACACTTGAACCCGGGAGGCAGAGGTTGCAGTGAGCCGAGATTGTGCCATTGCACTCCAGTCTGGACAACAAGAACAAAACTGTCTCAAAAAAAAAAAAATTGTTGTGAACTTAATTTTATTTTATTTTTACCATATTAAGACTATTGTGCATTTGATGAACCATTATTGTGCCACTAACTTTATCCCACCTTACTCAAGGGTGTAGGTACAAGATGGTAGGAATATAATATACTATTTGGCATCTCTATTAGTCACCTTGTTAGTGGCTTTAAACTGCAAATGAATTAAAGTGTATTGTTCCCATAGATTAAATGTTTACTCTTTTTTCTTATTGAAATTTTTTATTTGTATTCATGGATATGTAGTATGTGTATATATTTATGCCTTATATGGCATCTTTTGACTCAGGCCTACAATATGTAATAATTACATTATGGTAAATAAGGTGTCCATCACCTCTAGCATCTATCTTTTGTATTACCAATAGTGTAATTATATGCTTTTTCATTTTAAAATGTACAATTGTTATTGACTACAGGATTATTTTTATGGTCATAATAATTATACAAAAGTATAAATAAAATACAGCCAGGTGCAGTGGCTCACATCTGTAATTCCAGTGCTTTGGGAGGCCGAGGCAGGTGGCATGCTTGAGGGTAGGAATTCAAGACCAGCCTGGCCAACGTGGTGAAATCTTGTCTCTACTAAAAATACAAAAATTAGCCAGGCATGGTGGCACATGCCAGGATGCTGAGGCAGGAGAAGTTTGAACCTGGGAGGTGGAGGTTGCACTGAGCTGAGATCATGCCACTGCACTCCAGCCTGGCTGACAGAGTGAGACTCCATCTTTAAAAAAAAGAAAGAAAGAAAATAAAAAGTATACATTTCTGAGTCCTGAAAAATTATTAATAAATATTTGTAATATAGTGTTCCTTGAACATGTGGTCTCTGCCTGCAAGCATACAGACACTTTTAGTTTTAATTTACATAGAGTTAAATATACACATACTACTCTGAAGAGAAACCTTAGGTGTAAGAAAATTATGAAGTGAGTGTTTGTGTGTGAGTATAGGTTTGTATATATTTTCAGAAGAAAAGAGCAATTATTGCAGCAAGACAAATTATGTTAATTAGGTGATTAACAAAACTAAACACTTTAAAAATGCTGAAAGCAAATCTATACTCTGCTTTGTATTGAATTTATTAATATAAAATGTTCTGGCTTGTGATTCGGATTCTCCCCAGAATCTGTCTATTAAAATACAGGCAACTTTGTCTCCAGAAACAACTCTCTTAAGTACAATAATAAAAGCTCTCTTCAAACAGAAAAATTTAAAAAAAAAAAATCATTTTTAACACTTACTTGAATGAGCATTCAATCAAAATTGAATACTTGGATATATTTTTATTGTTCTGTGTGTGTGCAAATGTATAAACAGTGCATAAAAAATAAGCCAGAAAAAAGGTGTTAGTTAATATTTGTAATGCATAAAACTGAAAAGTAGTTATTATATCCAGTTTATATCTTTGTTTATGTAGATAACAAAAGCAGCAGAAAGACTTTTTTTTTTTCCCCCCCACAAGATGGAGTCTCGCTCTGTCGCCCAGGCTGGAGTGCAGAGGCGTGATCTGGGCAACCTCCACGTCCTGGGCTCAAGCAATTCTCCTGCCTCAGCCTCCTCAGTAGCTGGGATTACAGGCGTGCACCACCATGTCGGATTTTGTTTTTAGTAGAGACAGGGTTTCATCATGTTGGCCAGGTTGGTCCCAAACACCTGACCTCATGATCTGCCTTCCTCAGCCTCCTACAGTGCTGGTATTAGAAGCATGAGCCACCGTGCCTGGCGAATGACGATTTTAAAAGTTTATTATGGTGGGTAGGCAACATTCTAAGATAATACCCTGGATTCCCAGTCTGTTGAACACCTGCTGTGTAATACTTTCTTCTTGAGTGTAAAAAAAAATGTGTGACTATGGTAGGAAATCACTTATGAAATTAGGTTAGTCGGCCTGGCGCGGTGGCTCAAGCCTGTAATCCCAGCACTTTGAGAGCCCGAGACGGGCGGATCACGAGGTCAGGAGATCGAGACCATCCTGGTTAACACGGTGAAACCCCGTCTCTACTAAAAAAAAAAATACAAAAAAAAAGCTGGGGGTGGTAGCGGGCGCCTGTAGTCCCAGCTACTCTGGAGGCTGAGGCAGGAGAATGGCGTAAACCCAGGAGGCGGAGCTTGCAGTGAGCTGAGATCCGGCCGCTGCACTCTAGCCCGGGCGACAGAGCAAGACTCCTTATCAAAAAAAAAAAAGAAAAAAGAAAGAAATTAGGTTACTCATCTGTAGACTTAATCAGAGGTGCTTTTTTTTTTTTTTTTTTTTTGGGAGACGGAGTGTGGCTCCGTCGCCCAGGCTGGAGTGCAGCGGCCGGATCTCAGCTCACTGCAAGCTCCGCCTCCCGGGTTCACGCCATTCTCCTGCCTCAGCCTCCCGAGTAGCTGGGACTACAGGCGCCCGCCACCTCGCCCGGTTAGTTTTTTTGTATTTTTTAGTAGAGACGGGGTTTCACTGTGTTAGCCAGGATGGTCTTGATCTCCTGACCAATCAGAGGTGCTTTTAAGAGAAAGAGACACATCACAGAAAAATACCCCTGCTGACCTGAAAGTAAGTGACTTCTAGGTAGAACATGTTGTAAGCTGGTTATGGCCACATAGCAGGAAACATGTTTGTAGATTGTCATCATTGCTGCCTCCTACATGTTGTTTCCAGTAAGGAGCATAAGAGGATTCTATGGCAGAGGGTAAAAAAAGGCAATCTCATTCATTCAAGAAATAATCACCTCTCACCTGGGATAGCTTAAGAAAAACAGGAGACCACAACAGGACCACATTAATGGGAGAAAAAGGGTAACCTGGGTAAAAGTGCTCTCTGACATTATAGAACAATATTTAGTAAGCTATATTGAATGATTGGCCTCTGGGATACCAATAGTCTACGAACAAGGATGAATTTATTCTATTTCAATCAGCATGTCTGTACCGTTCTTGTGACCCAGGTTTACACTATTTATTACAGAAATGCCATGAAGACCAGTGGGTAATGTCCTGGAATTGAACTTACTTCAAAAAGCATACTTAATTGTCTGTTTTCAAATTTGAAAAACCTTAAAAACAATGCATTTATAAATAACTTCTAATTATAGAGGATTCTACTGTACTGTAATGCAAGATTAAACTGTAAACACTTTAATATGAATAGTTTTTGAATGCATGATTAGTTATGTAGATAGTTTCTTTTAGGTTGACATGACCAAAGTAACAATTAGAGAAAACATTTGAAATAGAATAAAATTAACCAAAACCACATTTTTTCAGTGGCTTGGCATAGTTGCCATACTTACGGAAATGGAAATGGCCAGATGACTAACAAGAAACAAAGACAAGATTTAGGCTTTGCTCAATGATTGTTTTTTACCTTTTGAAATCTGAAATCCTGGCTAAAGTATTCAAAGGGAGTATGGGGCTTTCCAGGGTTTCCAAGTGAATGAAGAAATAATTTATTTTATTTTATTTTTTAGATTAATTCTCACTCTGTCGCCCAGGCTGCACTGCAATGGCACATTCTCAATTCACTGCAACCTCCGCCTCCCTGGTTCAAGTAATTCTTCTGCCTCAGCCTCCCAAGTAGCTGGGATAACAGGCACCGCCATTATGCCCGCATAATTTTTGTATTTTAAGTAGAGATGGGGTTTCATCATGTTAGCCAGGCTTGTCTTGAACCCTTGACCTCAGGTGATCCACCCGCCTCAGCCTCCCAGAGTGCTGGGATTACAGGCATGAGCCACTTTGCCTGGCCAGAAGAATTTTGGTAGGCAGGAAAATGCACATTATGTATACACATTGCTCTTCTCTGATTTGCTTCAATACTGAAAAACTGAAGATTGTAAATGTAGTCTCAATTTAGAGTGAATTAACAAAAGATTTGTTTTTCAAAAAAGCAAATGTATAAAATTAATGGGTAACAGATGCCATTAGTTGTTAAAAAATAGTATGACTAAATTTAGTAAGTATCTAGTCATGCAAATAACAGCCCAATTAAATGGAGACCCTAATAGCTGCATGTGGAAAGCATTGCTGTGCAGTGTGGTGCACCTCCACTCAGCATTTTCTTCTGCCTCTGCACAGACATACCAATTTCCCCTGAGTGACTCAGGGTACGTACTGGTGTTAGAAATGCTTTTCTCTGGTGCCATAAAGAAATAGCACTTGAACATAAATTTAATTTTTCTTAGGAAGGCCATTTTTACTTTTTGCAGAAAAGGTACACTTACCAGCAGTTTTGCCATGAGAGTACACTCAACAAACGAGACAGGGTCATTTATAACGTGACGTGTCCACCCTACTGCTGTGTCTAGTTTTTATTGGCTGGAATAGGACTTCACATTCTGTATTGGTCCCAATTGTTTAGCAATTTAGAACTTTTTAAAAGAGGCAAAGGCAAAGGAGAACAAAGGAAGGAGGAAGTAACTTGTGGAATGCTGAGAAAGGTAAAAAGACCTTCCATTAAAAAGGAGGAACAGGCTATGACCTAATGCTTTCTTGGATTAGTATAAGCATGCCAGGGCAAATATTTAGGCTACATTGTGGGAGCTAAGAACATAAAGTACATTGATTTTTTTTATTATGGCTAGGAGATATTTAAGAATGTTAGCACAGGTCTTTGAATAAACTTTGCTTC